CTGCCACAAAGACTCGTTTTCCAGTGTCTTGGTAGCCCCTGGAAAGAGGCGATATGTCTGCCCTCCCCCATGCCCGTCTGCCTCCCCATGCCTCCTTCAATCTTTCCCCCTGCTCTCACTCTCCCCCCCCCACACACATCATACCATGCACAGAATAACACCCCCCCACACACACATACACACACACACACACATACACACACACCAAAATCTGAAGTGATACCCCCGGGAGGAAGGCGCTTGCTTGCAGTGCTATGCCTGTACATTTGTATCTCAGCCCTGGCTGCAGTGTGGACGCATGACTGGAATCAGGTTTACACTGCAGCTGCTGCATCTGGGGGGAAGTGCTGTCTAGCGTTAGGCTAGGACTAGAAAGCAAAGGCACAGAAAGAACAGTTTGCCGCTGTCATAGCTCTGGCAGGGGGTTCTAGGGCCTCAGCTGCCCTCACAGCCGCTGGGTGCCTGAAGCCATCTCTGCTGAAATGGCCTGTACAGAAGACAAACGACAGCTCTAGGGCTCGTTTGGCATCTGCACTTTGTCGATGTGTTTTCTTTTCAAACTTAGATGCAAAATTACTGAGCAGATGTTTTCAGCTTGACACCCATTCCTGGCTGAGAGCGCGCCAAGGAAAAGAAAGAGGCAACATGTGATGAAAAGCACCGCGAGCAGGAGTGCAGCTCAGCATCAGGAAAAGGCTCTGTTCATGTAAAAGAAGGGCAGAGCAGAGGCAAATGCTCGAGGGCTTCCAGGTCATGCCGGATGCTGATTAGAAAAAAGGTCTTTCCCATTCTGCTTATACACAGCGGCAGTCTAGGCTCTTCATCTTTCGACTCTCAGACAGTGGTGTATATGGCTGTGCTACAAGAATGTCCTATGGAAAATTTTGATGTCATACGCCTTGTATATACTAAAAAGAAGATTGCCGCTGCTGCAATTGATCTTCCGGAGTTCTATTTAGCGAGTCTAGCTGAGACTCGCTAAATCAAACTCAGAGGGTGTGTCTGCCAGTGTCTGGTATTCCTGGCTTTGCAAGGACTAAGGGAAGCTGACGGGAGCATTTACTCCCATCTGACTCCCACTGTGGGGACACTGCCAAGTTCAGCCGGAGTTGCGTACCTTAAGCCAAGCTACCGGTTCTAGTGCAGACTTGGACTCAGTGCATAGTGTGTGCTACAAGAATGGCCCAAGGAAAATTCTGATGACTTAGAGAACACACCACAGATCCTAAGTCAGAGCCTGCCTCTACAAAGTAAATAATGGTGGCACAATACAGAGTTTCTGCTCTTGAATTTGGAAAGCCAAAGACCAAAGTTGCCAGCACAATAAGAACTGTAATGTCTCTTCCTGCAGTTACATAAAAGAAATAAGATGTGAGTACAGCTAATGTCAGTGATGCTGCCAGGACAGCGTTGCAGTCCAGGTACTCACTGTGGTTAACACACTACTGTGGAATGAAACATTTGGGGTATGTGGTCGTCTTGAGTAAATCTAGATTTTCTTTCCAAGAGATCCCAAAACACGTTTGGACAGTGGTTTGTCGGCTTCACATGATCTCTTGCATAGGACGCTGCATTTCCCTGCTCTTCTCCCTGATCTGCTCAACATACCAGTACCTGTAAGATTGTGCAGCGCCATAGGGACCAGTGGCCGTAGGTGGTGGTGCCGTCAGAGGCTAGATGATGGCTGTTTCGTCAGACCTAGACAACTTGCGCTCTTCACTTTCCCAGCACCAGACTGCGACTAGGACAATCTCGTGCTGCACCACCTGTAGCATCCAACTGTGGCTACCCACCTGTTATGAAGGAATAGGTGCTTATTACCCCCCAACAGCACTGACTCCTTATTTGCAAGGTGCCAATTTCGTCTTTGGAGCCTTAAATGATGTGGTTCCCAGGCTACGTATGAGTGTGCCTTCCCCACAATGCTTTTGCAGTTTAGCTTTAGCTGGAGCATTCAAGCTTGAATCCAGAGATTGGTTTGTGTGGGTCGTATGGGCTAAGGAGCTTTCCATGGGGTACCTCAAGTCTGTAAGTCTAATCCTAGACAGTCTGGCTGTGTCTAGACTGGCAAGTTTTTCCGCAAAATCATGTGATTTTGCGGAAAAACTTGCCAGCTGTCTACACTGGCTGTTTGAATTTCCAGAAAAGCACTGACGATCTCATGTAAAATCATCAGTGCTTTTCCGGAAATACTATTCTGCTCCCGTTCAGGCAAAAGTCTTTTTCCGAAAGACTTTTGCGCAAAAGGGCCAGTGTAGACAGCATAGTGCTGTTTTCCGCAAAAAAGCCCCGATCGCGAAAATGGCGATTGGGGCTTTTTTGCAGAAAACCACGTCTAGATTCTTTTGCGGAAAAGCATCCTGCCAATCTAGACATGCTTTTCCGAAAATGCTTTTAACGGAAAACTTTTCCGTTAAAAGCATTTCCAGAAAATCATGCCAGTGTAGACGTAGTCTCTGGTTTTTTATTTTTCCCCTTTAGGGTACAGTCTAAGGTCTGTCTCTCTTCTCAGGGTTTTGTCTACAGGGAGGGCCAGTGGGTTGGTTTCGGTTTCAGATGTGCCTGTTTCTGTACATGTAACAAGCCTGGTTCTCCAGCGCTCTGTGCAAGGCCTTAACAGGGCTGCAGAGTGGGCAGAAAAGAGTCGGATTGTGCAGTGGCATCAGCGAGTGCCCATGCAGCATGCGGGGCCCTGGAAAGACCGGCCCTGGGCTATTTAAATGCCGCTGAGCAGAGGTCTCCAACCTTTTTAAGCAGCAAATCACTTTTTGAATGTGTCAGTCCAGGATCTACTTCAAACATAAATACCCCTACCCCCGCCCCTTCTTCAAGGCCCTGCCCCACCCCTTCACTGAGGCCCCGCCCTCCTCATTCAGTCCCCCGTCCTGTCCCCCATCTTCACAGAGTGACTTCAGTGACCCCCTGCCTCTGTCTCCCCCACCCTGCACAACAAACAGGAGGCTCCCGGGGGCAGCTCTGAGGCTCTGGGCAACAGCAGCAGGGCAGTGGGGAGGGGCAGCTGAAGTGCCGACACTAGATAGCCTCCTCGCCAAATCAGTCAGGATCACCTGTCAGAGGCTCCAAGATCTATCTGTAGATCCCGATCGACCGGTGGGTGCCCACTGCCGTATAGGAATCCCAGGACAGGGAAGTGGGATCACTTACGAAAGGGCCAGAATCGGCCGCCCTTCCACAGAGCAGCCTCTTCATGACTAGCCTCATCCGTCTCAGTGAAGCGGGAATGGAGTAAGGCGCTAGTCAATGTGCGAGAGGCAGAAGCTAGACCTGAATATAAATAACTAAACTGACATTAAAAAAAAAAAGGACCGGCAAGAATCCCAGGACAGGGAAGTGGGATCACTTACGAAAGGGCCAGAATCGGCCGCCCTTCCACAGAGCAGCCTCTTCATGACTAGCCTCATCCGTCTCAGTGAAGCGGGAATGGAGTAAGGCGCTAGTCAATGTGCGAGAGGCAGAAGCTAGACCTGAATATAAATAACTAAACTGACATTAAAAAAAAAAAGGACCGGCAACTCCTGAATATGGATGTATTTTATAAATATAATTAACACTCTATACTTCCAGAGAGGTATACTAGGTCATACTGGGTCAAAACTGTGGTCCATCAAAGCCAGGATCCTGTCTTCCAACAGTGGCTAAAGGCAGGTGCTTCAGAAAAATGAACAGAATGGGGAATCACCAGGTGATCCATCCCCTGTCATCCATTCCCAGCTTCTGGCAAACAGAGGCAAGAGACACATGGGTACGCCTAGACTACAGGCTTTTGTGGACAGAGGTTTTTGTCGACAGCAGCTTTGTCGACAGAGCGTCTAGACTACAGCCAGTTCTGTCGACAAAGCAAGTCGCTTTTTTGACAGAGAGTCTAGATGCTTTCTTTTGAAAAAGCACAGTGTGGATGCTATAGTGCCGTTTGTCGACAGAACTCTGTCGACAAAAGGTGTTATTCCTCATAGAATGAGGTTTACCACCAGCGACAAAACGGCCGCGTTCTGTCGACTTACTGTCAACAGAACTCGGTGGTAGTGTAGATGCAGGTATTGTTTTGTCAACAAAAGTCCACTTTTGTCAACAAAGCCCTGTAGTCTAGACACACCCCATCTCTGCCCATCCTGGCCGTAGTGTAAAGAAGAACTAGATATATTCATTTATTATAAAAATATAATATATTTAATATATAATTCTAAATATATTATTGTATTATAAAAAAACCTCAAGTTCTCCAGTAGTTTCAGGATTTGAATTAATATTTTCTTGGCTCAGAACATAAGACAGACAAAAGGCAGTTCAGGGAGATGCTGTGTAGGTGTCTGTCTTCAAATCAGGTAATAAAAGCAAAGTGTGTGTCGATTTGACACAGGCTGAAATCACACTAAAAACGTGCATCTTTCCAGTGACTTCAATGGGAAGGGATTAGCATATTAGTGAAACACCTCAGGAAAATGTGCAAATAAACTAATGGCTAAGAGAGTGTGTGAATTTTTTTAGGTCGCATTGTACTATACGAATGACAGTACATCTAGTCATCATCATACCATCTCAGCGCTGTTTGCACTAAACATCCCCCCAAAGCAAACTAAATCCACCTTTGTATCATTCTGCATGTGCCTCTACATTCTAAGTGATCAGTGCTTAAAGACACCCTTAGGCAGGTCTTCCTCAGGGCCTGTTGATTCAAAGGGGGACCTCTGGCTGCCCCCACTGCCGCAGTAGCAGAGGTGGTGACCAGAGCCCTGGTCCCTTTAAATTGCTGCCAGAGCCCCACACCCTATGCTCCATGCCGTTCTGAGGGCTGGGGGATGTGCACCACACTCTGGGCAGCACAGAGGACTGGTTGCCTGTTCCGGCCCCTTCTGCCCAATGCTCTGCCTCTCCCAGGAGCAAGGAGCCCGTCCCTACACCCCGACCTTGCCCAGGAGTCTGCAGCGACTGACAGCTCCCCTGCCCGTAGGTTGTTTCACAATAAAAAGGCAAACCCAATGTTAGACACGTGTATATTTTAATTCATTTTAAAAATGTCGGACATTAGCGGATAGACTTCAGATTTCATATTTTCTTGTTACATCGGAGAACGCCTGACATGATCTGCATAGTCACAGTAACATTTTTGTTTCGTTGTGAAATTGTCAGTTGCAGGCAGCAATGTAACGTTTCAAAAGACAATCACGAGACGTGCAGGGTGCCCAGCCAGAAGCATTTCTCAGTTGACTTGCAGTAGCGTGGTACTCTAGACTTTGTGCATCATCAGTTTTGTAAGTGTAACTCAGAAGTGTCCCAAGAAGCAAAAACAAACTTTCCTCTGTCCACCTTAAGTGTGAGGTCAGTTCCTCAGTTGCTTAAAATCAGATGACTTCACTGGAGCAACACTGATTTATACCACCTGAGGATCTGGCCTGGATTTTTCCAACTAGAATGTCTACTTTGTGGCCACTTTCAGATTCCTTTCATTGGCTTCTCGGAGAATTTCTAGTGTGCCAAGAATGCAGGATATGGCTCTCAAGAAAGAATACCCTAAATTAATGCTTAGAGCAAAATTCTGAGTGGTGAATCTTCCCTCCAACACCCAACTCTCCATACGTGTATGGAAAGGGAACGTTGCATGCGTGTGGAGTGTAAAACATTAGGGTTTGCATATGAGAAGAGAATTTTGCCCTTAGCCTGATGCTTTGACCGTGAAGAGTGTTTCCATCTCTATTTGGCCATTATACAGAAGATATGTGTGTGTGTGTGTGTGTGTGTGTGTGTGTGTGTGTGTGTGTGTGTGTGTGTCCTCACCTACAGAAAAAAAGTGCTTTTGCTTTGTCTACCTGAAAGGACTCCGTGTGGATGCATCTTGCCACCTAGCCCATGTGTTTGTATTGAGATCTGTCCCGAGGAATTTGTACCTGGTTGGCTGTCAGTTTGTGGTGGATATGGTACACGCAGAGGGTTATCACAATCATCAACCCCAATATCAGACCCAAAATCAGAGGTAGGGTTTCTTCTAACTGCTCCCTCTCATCCACTGGACACTTATGTTCTGCAACGAGGGAAAGAAGAGAGAGAGAAAGAGAGAGAGAGCTGATTAACTGTTTTTTACATGAACTTTAGTGGTAGCGGCAGAGGACTGTGTTTTGGGGTCAAGTAACCCGGGTTCCAGGTCTGGCCATATGTAATAATAGGGGAACTGGTATTTTACTTCTACCTTCCCCTTTAGTGATATGAGTCCCTTAGCCTCTGTCTGTGCCAGACACAAAAGGGCATAACCATCCACCCATAGACAAAGCCAGGAAGTTACAGCAGGGACGTTGTTCAAGTGGCATTCTGACAACTTATCCCTGCTGAGGAGCTGCCCATCCTAGATCTCATAGACTTTGGGCTTTTCTTCACTTATCCCGAGATTGATGCTCCAGAGATTGTTTTCACAGAGTGCAATTTGGCGGGCCTAGTAAGAACTAGGGATATTAAATTTAGTTTAATCAACTAATCCACTAGTCAATGGCTTGTCAATAAGCGGGGGAGCTGCAGCGGGTTAGCTCCCGGCCCCAGGAGCTAACCCCGCTGCGGCTCTGCCTTTTAAATGTATTAAGCGCTGGTGGGCTCTTTATACGTTTAAAAGGCTGAAGTGCAGCATGAGGGACCCAGCACGAGCCGGGACAGCTGATTGTGGTAGGCTCTTACTACATTTAAAAAGCAGAGGTGCAGCATCTGAGACTGGGTGTGAGCCAGGAATCAACTGATTCCCAGCGCACGCTTGGTCCCCGCTACCTCCCCCCCCCACCTCCCTGTCCCCCTCCCTTTTAAGCCAGCTCACTCCATCACCAGCTCCTGCCCTTGCTGCCTCTGATAAAGGCATCAAGGGAGGGGGAAAGCAACTAGTCAAGGGACTAGTTGACTAATCCTTACATCCTTAGTAAGGACCCGCTAAATCGACCTCTTTTGGTGCCCCCATAGACTCTAGCTGACCGGGTCATGAGAAGTAAGGGAAGTCAACAGAAGTGTTTCTTCCATTGACCTCCCGCAGCGGGGAACATCGTAGAAATTTTCCTTAAGGTACATCAATTCCAGCTACACTGTTCTCATATCTTAGGTTGACTTTCTCCGGTATCGTAGCCCTGGCCTTTGGGTTGTATTACCACTCCCTGGAGCTACTGGGGCTCACAACACTTCCATTCAAGTTTCTGTGTACATCATGCAGCTGGCCATGGAGAAAGGGGCAAAT